ACGAATGTACCTGTTCAACAACCCCTCCAGTACATGTTTGTCTTCTTAGGCCTGCACCGGAAAGTAGATTGTTTCAATTGCCTATTCTAGGCTCACAACAACGGGATGTTTACTGCGTGGAGAGTGAGCGGCATCCGCGTCCCGGTTGATCGTGAAGGTGAACACGCAACAAAACTCGCGCCAACTCTTTGTTCTGGTTCCGCAGCACACCATTTATGATGTCTGGATTCGTATCAAGGGGTATAATTATAGCACATGTAAGGTTTATCGATCAGGGACTACGAAGGAAGTATACGTACAAAAGAAAAGAATAACATAGCAACCAGGGACTCAGTTGTGCCATACGACTTTATAAATTCATTGCATTTTTCGCGAAAAATAAAATCTAAATTATGCAATAATGTTGATATTATTATACACATTTATTTCAATATATTCTAATATGCACATAATATACCGGTACGCATCAAAATGCTTATCTGTAGGCCTATACTTTAAATTTTATTATGGAAAAACATTTTGACAGACTTATTAAATTACCATTAAAAACTTTTATTTTTGTTTTCGTTTTGTTTACACTTTTTAAGCTTTTTGCACATTATTTGAGTTGATTATTTTTTTTACAGCAGAAGTTATCATTATTGTTGTTCTTTATATCGGATATTTGAAAAAAATGGTCATTAAATGCCGTTACATTTCAAATAGGCCTATTAATAATTCGCTAACTTAGTTAAAACCTTCGGAATTTCATGTCAGTTTTTTAAAACAAGTTCGACGAAGCTGTAAATTGGATGTAACGAAGCATTAAATGCATGAATACATAATAGGCCGTGCACTGATTGTTAGTTGTTGTTATAGCTCTATTATTATTATTATTATTATTATTATTATTATTATTATTATTATTATTATTACCGGTATTAATTTTATGTTTATTAATATTGGCCTAATTTATTGCTATTATAATTTATATGTTTCTATGAGTATGTACAGTATATTGTGTTATGTGTGGCTTATGCTATTATTGATAATTTACTTATTAACATTTTAATCACCCTTCATTAATTTAATAATGACTCTTATAAATATCATTTTGATCATAATTTATAATCTTTATCTTTAAAAAATGTTTTTGTGACAAAAAGGTATAGTTTAGTAGGTAGTAAACAGGCGCGTATCAATCAGGGGCCATGAGAGCCTGTTCCCCCCTTCGGTCAAGCCAAAAAAAAAAATTTAAAAAGAGGGAGAAAAATTTGAGTTAAAGAGAGGAAAGCGGGAAAAGGGGGAGTGCACAGATGAGTTCAGTGGCGATCCAGCAGTGGGAGAAAGGAGAGCTGGATTGTTTACCACTTATTTACACCATGTGGATCCGGCCCTGGTAAATTCACATTTTGATGATAAGTTTTCATGCTGGGCCATGAAACAAGTCAGACGCTGTCTCGTTACTTGTCACATTCATCAGATTGATCTTGTATGATGATGTATATTTTCATTTAATTAAATTCAGATTTGTAAATTGACGTAACTAGATAGTTAATTAATTAACGTTATACATTGTTCACATATTCACCCAATTACATTTCAAATATCCTAAATAGCTGTAACCATGTTTTAAATTAGATCATTAACAAGAATAAATTAAGAAATGAGACACCGCAATACAGCATAGTTTTCATCAAGAGTGGTTAACCTGTAGTAAATGTATCAACGGACCACTGTATTTTTTAAAAACATATGTACGCGCACAACAGTACTTTCTGTATTGCACTAAACATTAGGTTAAGTTTATATACCGTGTTTATTCACATAAACCCCCCCTCTTTGAATAAACGCCTCTCCAGAGCCTCATGTGGAATAAACGCCTCCTCGAATAGACGCTCCGGGCGTTTATTTTTCCTCGAATAAACTCCCCTTCTCCCTTCTAAATGACTATAAACAAAACTAATGGAGGCAACATCATTCTCAAAACATGCGTTTAATAATCTACTCCTGTAGAATTACATTTTTTCTAACTTGGTTGGAATCAATAAGTTTTATGATCATTCAGCAACAAATTTGGACTGTATACGTGTGTTGTAGTTCCAAATTTGCGGTGAAATTACTGTATAAAGGCGTTTATTTGAGTATTTTGTTTGTTTGTTTTATTCGGTACTCACGTAGGCTATCCATTTTACACCAAAAAAAAAAAAGACGTCTTCTTTAAATAAATACCCCCTCAGAACCCTTTTAAACAGTAAACTGGCGTTTATTCGAATAAACACAGTATTTCCTTTGTAAACCCGTGTTTTTAATATATAGCCTTCAATAGCTATGAACCTGGTCATTTAGCCCTAATATAAGTTTCCAATTGTTTATTGAATGTTGGAGAAGTTTTTCTAATGTTTTAACACAATGATGAACCGAAGGCCTACAGTGACTTAAAATTATTACTGGATTAAACGTTGCAAAATTAAATTTACCACTTCCGAATAACAAACACATGTTTCGTCTCGACTTGATCACTTAATCGCGCAGAAAACAGTAAAATTATATTTCCTTGTACATGCTTATACCTCCTAGACCTTCTTTCGAAACCAACACTTTAAAATTCACTACTCAATAATATGTCGTTTGTATAACTTATATAATTCCCTTAAGACTGGTGGAATTTTGTCAAGTTAAACGCTGTCATTTATTAGTGGAAATGCGTAAATAATAAAATTAAATATTTTGTTTTAAAAGCACATTTATAACAAATTGATTAGGCCTATACTTAAAAGTTCTTTTAGCAGTTTAAATTTCACGTACTGTAAGCCTAACTACTGTTTATTATGCTTGTCGCTGTCATCGTTATTGTAATCTTGACGGTAGTATTCACCTTAAGAACCATCAAAGTATATTTTCATGTAGGCCTATTATACCAATATACTCCAAATTTTCATGTAGGCCTATACCAATATACTCCAAAGGATTATGAATTCATTATGTTAGCCTATATTGTAATATGAATTATAATGAATAAAAGGACACGCTTCTAACAATGCAACACAAATACTGCACGCTCCAGTAACGAGTGCCGAACAATTACCAACTAGACGTGAGTTTAAAGTCTTGACAGCTAGGTTGCTGCGGAATATTTCGTTGCAGGCACCGGCGAACGCGATGGGCACGAGCCCCGGTTGCGTCGGGGTTTCTATATTTGGCTAACACGCACGCGTAAGACACCTGTTCGTACTGGAACAACTTCAGAGTCGTCCTTACGGAATGGTGTAATAATCTTTGACAGTTCACGGATAAAGATTAGTGGCAATAATATTCAAATACATTGTTTAGGGAAAATAGAAATACACATCGGCGAAAATTTACGGGGAAGAAAATTGCAAATTATTCGTACTCATTTATTTGTGTTTGTTCGTATTCGATACGATTGTTTCAATTTTGATAGGCCTACATAAATTAGATACCCTATCGAAAAAGGCACAAATTTGGAAAAATTTGAAAACACCAGTACAGTAACTTTACCATAAGTTTGTTATTTTGTGCAATACTGTATAGGCCTACATTGTTATTTATTATTCAATGTTATATGTATTATTACTTCGACAAGTTTTGCAAAAGATATACTAAAAAAGCTTGGAAATTCCCAGTAGTGAGATATTAAATTCCATGATCTCTGTTTTTCAATTTCATTTTAGTTGTTTTCTTTTCTGCATTTACTGTTTTGATGTCATTTTTCTTATGTTTAAGTTTTAAGTTTTATATTGTTTTTAGTAGAAGGGGGTCATTGTTTGCATTGTTTGGGGAGGGAGGAGGGTTCTTAGAATATTATTTCTGGAAATTAGAGGTTAAGTTTAGTTCAGTTTTATTTGTGGGGATGGATATAACATTTGAATTATCAGGGAAGGTGGGAGAAGGGATTAATTTAAGCTGTTTTGATTTAGTTTTATGTTTTAGTTGTTCTTGTAATTTGCTGTATCTTGTATAATCATTTGTCTTTTTGAGTTTCGGACGCACCTTTGTTTTATTTTTTCAAAGTGTTCCACTAATATAAAATTCCAAATAAATATTATTATTATTATTATTATTATTATTGTTATTATTATTATTATTATTATTATCATTGTTGTTGTTGTTGTTGTTGTTGTTATTATTATTATTATTATTATGAGGATATTATTATCATCATCTTTATGACTATTATTTGATTATTGTCTTAATCTTTATGATTAGTAGGCCTATAATTATTATTTATTATAGTTATTGTTAATGTTATAATTACTGTATTATAATTGTTATTGTCATTACGACAAATCTAATCTGTGTATGTTTTTTATGTTCACAATTTCAGTTAGGGCTACAGTAGGCCAATCTTGTAGATGTTATCGTTGATGCCTACTGTGTACGGTTATCATTAATTGTATCAATATTGATGGTTTTAATTTCATTCTAATTGACATAATGATACACTATGGTGTTATTGATTATAAAGTATTGTTTACAAGCTACAACACTTAGGCTATGTGGTTGTCATCGAAACTAATATTATTTTGATCGTAAGCCTAATTGTAATAAATATTGCCTATTATTAGCATTAAATTTTCAAGTATTATATTAAGTTGTACTAATGCGTATTAATTTATGTATTTTTATATCTCTTTATAGGCCTAATTAATTATATAATTCGTAATGATTGTTTTTGTTAAGTTGGCCTATTTTGTTAATTATTTGTTGTACAGTACGTAGCGTTTTATCGTTATGTAGGGCCATATCTCGTTCTGTATATATTCATTTTGTCTATCTTCGTTATAATAAATAAATAGGCCTACAATTATTATCTTCAATATTATCGTCATTATCAGGGGTTAACTATCGTTTGGATAAAAATCATCTTTGGTAGACCTAGAGTGAACATTGTCGTGAAAACAGCTTAGAAGCCCCATATTAATGTGGATTACATCATAATTACATTATATCAATTATCACATTATTAATACAAATAAATCTGATTTTTTATATTGCAGACAGAAAGCAGTAGCCCCGGATCCTACTCTTCGTCAGATAAGTTACATCACTATGGCGACAACTATGACGTAGCATCGTCTTATGGTGAGAACTCTCACGTGTATGTTTCTAATTTACCTGCTACTTATAGCTCAGAATATCAACTCCATATTTGATATTTCCAGGGAAACGCAATATGTTGCCTGGGTTAAGCTATCTGAGGTCTACCAACTGGGTGTTTCCCTGTCTCGCAGGATACGGAAGGCAATTGTGTTTACCTTTACTTTTCTTGTCACGTGAAAAAAAAAACAAGATACCTCTACAGTATTTGTAAATATGTCACTATACTTATAATCTTTACTGAATTTCAATTGAGTTTATTAGAATGCATGTATTACTGATTATAGACTTATTTTCACAATTATTATCATCATCATTATTTGGTTTGTCATTAAATATTTCTGTTATTATATTAAATTTTTATTTAAAGCAAGTTTAAATATTTACTGCCTTTCAAAGATAAAACCCTGAGCTCTCCTCGGTGGTTTGATGAGACGTAACGCGTACATATACGCGAGTTCGTCCATCACTCGGAAGTACACTGCCACTGCAAACTATGGTATTCCATGGTAATTTTTTGTTCGTTAGCTTACTAATTCTCTGACAACGACCGTATTAATATTTGTAAAAGTTCGTGTCCTCCTCCGTTTTTATCCCTTGTTGGCAGCCATAAATAATTAATTGTCATCTCACAGATGACAATCAGCAAAAATCGACGACTGCAGATGTCTGTCTAAATGTTTACATATTCTCTATCAAAACAGCATTACAGAATTTTTTTTTTTAACAGTTTATTTCTAAAGTCCTGTGGTGTGCTAAGCATTAAATGCGCGGATATAGCCAGGTAACCGGTTTGACTTTGATTGATGGTTAGTTTGGCTAGCATTAAGGACCAATATGTTGATGATTCTTTAAGAAGGTTTGTAAAACCGCCCCAAAACAAACAGACGCCAGTCCGGATGGTTTGCTAATCATATTGCGCCAATAGTACCTCAACATACCAGTACAATTTAGTGCTGGAGCTCCTAATCGCTAGCCAATTGGGGTTAGCGGGACAATATTGAACGCCAAGCGCCGCCAGGCCGGTTTAAGCACCCTACATTTTGCCGCCAAATCACTCCCTTGTCGATAGTAAGATCAAGATGCACACCATAACAGACTAGTACGCTCATAAATAAGATTCGTGCAGGGATGAATTATTTAGTGGGGGCTTGGATGAGAAAACCTTAAGATTTATCTCAAGAGATATACATTAAATTAGATAGGTGTTGACACCGCTAAATTATAATAAAGTCCGATTTCATGATTCTGTAAAAAATAATTGTAACCGAACTGCGACGAGCTAGCTAACCTTATATGACATGTGTTTTAACATTATTACGCACTCAATTACGAACAGACATTTTGCTCATTTGTAACCAATAACATTCTAAGCATAGTAGTAAAGTAGTATTTTTGATTAAACAAAACACAATTTATAGACACATTTAAACCGTTAAAATCTACTGGACGCTTTGAACATTAAAACGACTGGTGAATCGAATGGTGACCGCATTTTCGAACCAGTGATGGGTTATGAAATGACCCTAAAAATCACTGTACTACTAGCACTTAGTATTACAACAAAACCATGTGAAAATATTTATGATAATAATAATAATAATAATAATACTGTAACAATAATAATAATAATAATAATAATAATAATAATAATAATATGTATAAGTAAGATTTGCACGAATAAAGGCATGCTTGTACTTGCAATGATAATGATAACGATAAAAAGCTAAAAAGCAATTGTTCATACAGAAAATAAAAGAAATAAGGGAAATGTTTACACTAGGACAATTCGATAACGACTTATCGCGTATACAATAACAATTAAATAATTTCACGAATCAATTCAAATGAAGTCACAATCATGGAAAAACGGTAAAATCGTAGTAGTCACAACGATTTTATAGTTTTCCATGATTATGACGTCATTTGAATTGATTTGTCAAAATATTTTGTTCGTATACACGATAAGTCATTGTCGAATCGTCAGGGTAAAAACGGTTTGTATGGTCATACGAGTGCTTTTCACTGACCATTAACCTGTTATTATTATGATTATAAATAACAAACGATCTATTTTTTACTATAAGCCTAGGCATATTTGCTCTATTTTAGTTTTAGGATGTCTTAAATTCAATTAAAACTATTAATATAATTGTTGTTTATTAATTAATGCGTCCTTCTTGATGTAGATTTAATAAATTAATATGTAAAAATTATAATAGGTTATTATTTGATTATTTCCTCTGCTGCGTAACTCTCATAATATAAAATTGAACGAATTAAAAATTCGACAATCTGTGCCTTTGGAAATTTGAGTGTTGTTAAACAAACAGCAAAATGATAGAGGTCTTATGTGTGTTAACAATTATTTCAACATGTGGTTCTGAGATCTTTTTCTTTGAAATGTTTGGCATCCACCACATTACAATAATCGGTTTTAAGACAACATAATGTTCTGTCCCCTCGGTGACCTACACAACTGAAGTTAAAGAAGGTCCTCGTTTTTATTGGTTTGGGCAACTTAGGCCTACTAAATGTACATATTTAAGAATAAACACGTCCCTTTCTCATTTTACGTAGATAAACATCAAAGCAATCCTACCGAAATCCAAACATTCTCAAAAACAAAATGAGCAACCGTAGCTTATATGCATGTCTAGTGGTCTAGGCCTATGACTGTCTAGGTGTGTGGTGGTGTGTGTTTACTATCATAGTAATACATCCATGGTGGGGTCGAACGGGTCTATGTAGTCGATGGTGGATATGGTGCCGGTTTTAACAAAAAAAAAACGCTAGAGAAATGTTTTTTTGTTCTTAGGCCTATTAATTATTTCGGTATTTCTACCGGAAATAAACTATTTTTAATAGGCCTATATTATAGTGGATTACCTCGAAACCAACATCTTTTCTTTTTCCATTGTTGTACAATGACAGATATTTTTCTTCAACAAATTGAAATCATGATTAAAGCAAACAGCTTCATGCGTGACCCTAAAGTTTTCTGCATAAACACACATTTATTTTAAAGTTAACAATAAGGATAATTTTAATGTTTATTTATTTTCAGGGTACCATTGTACAAGCACGTCGAGTCTTGACTGTCTGTCATTAATTGTTGAAAGTATAACCCCAAACAAAGGTAAAGCTATCACATCGCCCAAGAAAGCTACAGCCGATGGAATGTGCGTATGCTGAAGCTAGTGATCTGTCAACGAATATAATCTGGCGTTCACAAGTTTGCAAATCCACAAATTACAAAACATCGGAGAGAGAAAACAAGAATGAAATCACAGCGCAGCTAATGAGAGAGTATTTTGAGCAAAATCTTTGACTATAAAAACACTCGTTGATATTTTTCCATTAAAACTTTTTAAAATCGGTGTTATGGAAAAAAATATTATTAACTTTAAAGGAAGAGATTTTTATTGCCGATTTATCATCTTGATTCTACAGGGTTAACACGGTCAGTGTGGATTTATCCACGCTAAGCGCTAACTATCGAGTCATCCATGCAACCTTGAAATAACGTTGTAGTTAAAACACGTTAAAATAAAACAACCTTAAATGCAATATTCCTTTCCCAATTCTGTTTCAGATGGGTTTCTTCTATATTAATTAGATTTAATTTAATCTTTAAAAATCTGATTTAATCACGTTTGTGAAATGTTCACTTCCATTATGTCTTACAAGTACTGTACACGCAATCGAAAGTGAATTCAGAATTTTCGAATTACACCAAGAATCCGTTGTTTTAGCCTAATTCAATTTGAATATATTGGTTTAATTGATTTATTTTCTCGAGAAGTTGGAAAATCCTTGAGTGGGGAGGGTACTCAAGCAGCCTGATTAATCAGCTCCCTGATGACATTCTAGGGAGAGTTTAGCGTCGTCAGGTTTACGTTAGTTATAACGTCTGACGATTATTATTTATTGTAGATAGATACTGTAAAACAGTACTGTTGGCATTTTAGTATGTATCTAGAGACAGATCTAGAATTGACTTGTTTATTTAATAATGAACAAAGCGAAATTTACCAATAGATGTATAGATTTATAGGAAAGGTTTACGGATATAAATAAACATATAAATAGGTTTTATTCATCAAGGATGTATATGGATCAATAGAAGTTTAAACAATGTTTTAAGTTGACACTGTTTGTTTAAAAGAATTTAGTGATAGGGCCTATTTCCCGCGTGCCATTAATGGGAAAATTGAGCATGCGGCTAATAATATATGCCTCATTGTACATTAATGCTATGAAGCAAATTTAATAAGTCAAAGGTGTAAAATATTATATTATGGACTTATTCGAACTAATCAGTGTCGTTAATTTATGCAAGCTATGGTTTGGCCAATTATTCGTAGTTCTGAAGTCGATCGTTTTATCATGACTTCAGTTAACGTTTAGGCTTTAGCTATAGTGAAGACTAACCATGAAAGTACCGGTGCCGATCCCTTCATTGACTAACTCGTACGTTCGACTTCAAATTCAGGTAAAAAGTTATACAGTATATTGTGAGATATATGTGTCATTACTTGATGATGCATAAAATAGGCCAATGTTTAGTAAATAGATATATTTCGAAGTAATTTATTCTAATATATCTCCCTTTGAATGTCGTTTAGCGTTTAAATAAATACATTTACGAACGTATGTTGATTAGGTTCAAAGCTTTGAAAACAACACGGGTACAATGACAATCAATACATGATGTTATCATAAAATGATTGTTTCTTGATATTTTGAAGCGGCATTGAAGTTCGACGAAAGCTGGGACATGATAACCATTTTAAAGGATCAAATAAATATGACCTCTATGACGTGTCAAATTAATATGTATGATATGCAAATTTAGTCGAAATACGTCACAGATTAATCGTCATAGGCCTAGTATTTTATCATGTACCTCCGTGATCTTATAAATAATGGTAGGACTCACTTTGTAAATAGAAGAATACAAAATTTGTCCTACTAATCTTTCACTTTTAGAAGTAGATTAGACTACCGAACGCAGTACTATAAGTTGTAAAGTCCTTCCGTATTTAATTGTATATAGTCAATATAATTATGTATATCAACTTATTTCCAAATTATTGATCTGCGTACATTATTAATATGCATATTAATATTATGTACACTTAAAATATACCGAATAACTGCCGTAAAGATTCGATTAGGTGTCTATTAAGCAGACGCATACGTTGTCAGAGCTAGTAGAACTGCTCATAAGAAGTGAATCTAATAATATCAATGATGTATATTTACTGTATTTCGAAGAATGGATATTGAATTGACATTTATCATAAATGATGGATTAATTAAGTGCGTCTGCACTGACTATCTCAGTTGATATCTCATTCAAAGTATCCGATTAAAACTGAAACAAGTTTTAATGTAAAATGTGTACAAAATATTACTTTATAATTGGTTGGTGCTATATGGAAATTGTATATTGGTACTTAATTTCCTATTAATTTCCACTCTTATTGTAAGCGGTATCTGCTTAGTCCCTCATGTTCCGTCCTTTCAAGGACAAAATTTACCAAATGCAAACATTGCTTAGGGGTGTACTTATGTTAACACAGTAGGACTATCTGGCTTTTTTGTTCCATGTTTCTTTAGCTGCTGCTATTTAGTCAATGAAACATATCAGTTTATTTGGACCTGCCTTCAGCAACATGATTTCAAAATTAAATCAACCGATCTTTAATCCAATATTTATGTTTTAGGGTCTCTTGTGATCTAATCGTGTCAATATATCATAACAAATATAGGCCTGGTCTGACTATATAATAGTTAAAAGGTGTAACATAATAAATTCCTATAAGAGATTCAGTTACGAATTCCTGTAGAGATTTGCCGTGGGGTAGTTTTTCTCTCTTTTTTTATTTCAGATTGCGTTAAATCCTATATTATAATGATATTGTTAAAGTTTCGTATTATTGTCCCCAGATTACATGTGCATTTCTGTATGTATTGTAAATAAGACAGTGAACAGTTGTGTATTTATTTCTCTTCTTATCTTTAAAGTGATCAAATAAAGATTGATGTCCTTACATTATTGGCTCTATGTTATTTCTATTATTGTTGTTATTATTTATATTAATAATAATAATAATTATTATTATTATTATTATTATTATTGTATTATTAATATTTTTATTATTGTTACTATTACAACTATAGATAAACATATACCGGTAATTGGCCTTATAAGAACACATTTATAAGAACAATGAGGCTGAAATTGCTTAAAAATTGAGAACAAAATAAGAACAAATTCAGACTGAGGTAAAATGTCAAATGAAGTTTTTATTTACAAAAAAAAAAATAGAAAAAACAAACAAATGTATCTGTACTTTATGTGCCGTATGTGTTACATTGCAGTACCCTCTATAATACAGTACAGTATTATACTGACGTTACGATAAAATAAAGTGTGTGAAATAAGAACAAAATATGAACATTTTGAGCCTGAAATCGGCAAAAAATAAGAACACTGAGCCTGGACAAAATTGTAATTGTTCTTATAAAAAAAATGTACATCAAATTTTTAAAATATAACCACAGGTCTGTAGTATTGCGTCTTTATCAGTTGTTACTACCAACACTCCATTGCTGTAATGACGGAGGTACAGTATTAATAGAATATATACATAATATATAGATATAATACATTTATAGGTCTAACCTAATATTGTCATTTTATTTTATTTATTTATTTTTTTATTTTTTTTTTGCATTTTCATTTTCAGTACATTTCAACTATGTCAAGTCAAGATGCAAATAAGATTGCAACAAAATAGCACCCCCCTCTTTTACATGGCTCTTTTAATTTACACATGGAATGTAGAGTTTTGTGTAGTCGATGCTGACCAATTTTCTTATACTCGTCATGCAAAAGGCATTAAATATAAAAAATTCGAAGGTCTTGATGAAGATATCAACATATTTAGCTGTTTAACATCATCCCGCTTCGTCATGTAAATTTAACGAATTTCGTCGCATGGGTAAAAATGTTAAAATTAGATACAAGGAATGCCCAGCGTGTGGTGTTATTCTTTGAAATATCAAGTGCCCTCGTTACTGACTATGTTCGGCAGTATCGGGAAAAAAAGAAAGAATGGTAATGGTAATGGTTGGAGACTTATATAGCGCATAATATATGGTCTCTATAAACTCCGATTGTAGAGCTCGACTCGCAAAGGGTTCTTTTTGTGAATTCAAACTATACGTCAATGTCAAGGATCAGAAAAAGCGTCTAAAGTCTATGCGAAGTAATAATAATCTTTTTAATCACACGTATTCCATCCTTGAGACAGACTATCAAAAATATATATAAATTCTTGACTACACGCGTACTTTATAAGTTATCCTTCAATGGCCGTACGTTATAACTTATGTTGGTAAAGATGTGTCTTATTTTATTTCACTGTGGATCCTTATTTTGAGCAGTAAACAAAGTAGTATTGAATAACACATGGCAAAGAAACACTAATTACATGTCAATGTTTCGATAAATATGAAAGTAAGCCCAACAAATGTATAAAACTAGTTTAGGGCTAACATTTTAAAATGTAAAAACAGTTTACACATCCAATCAAGTTAGTACTTATTTGGCCTAATTCGTCCTCAGGTGGACACTCTTTTTTCTTTTCTGCTCCTAAACTCTGGCCCAACAATTACGTATCATCTCTGATCAGGAATTCTTCAAATCCATTCTTAAATCCCTCATCTTCAAAAAGCTCAACTTCTTTCTAACATCTTCCAGCACTGGTGACACGCCAGCTTTTTTTTTTTTTTTTTTTTTTTTGCTTTAAAGTCAGGCTCCGGAGGAAAATAAATGTTGATATGTTGTAGAACTGATTTTTCTAAGACAGAAAAAATTAGTTTGATCAAAAACTGAGCAACGGTGAATGAGATACAGATTTTTTAATATTTAAAAACGGGGGAAAAAGGTGTAAAAATGGGCGGATACGCCCCCTTTTTCCTCAGTTTTTAAATATTCAAAAATCTGTATCTCATTCACCGTTGCTCAGTTTTTTAAAAGAACTTTTTTTTTCTGTCTTAGAAAAATCAGTTCTACAACATATCAAAATTTTTTTCCTCCGAAGTCTGACTTTAATATAGACGCTTTAATAATGTGTTTGTTTTATTTTTATTATTATTATTATTATTACTGTATTATTATTATTATTATTATTATTATTATTATTATTATTATTATTATTGTTGTTGTTGTTAATATTATTATTATTATTGTTGTTAATATTATTATTATTATTATCATTATTATTATTATTATCATTATTATTATTGTTATTATTAATCAAGCCTTCGCGTATATAAAATTTGAATAACGCCCATGATCACCCAAGTCCAGAGCAGTAATGAATGTGACTTTCACACAAGGACACAATATCTGACCTACATCCAACTAAACTAAAGCATAGTGCATTACATATTTAATACGCTATAGATAGAACTTAATGCAACAGGGAATGCAAGAAAAAAAACAAAAGTATACAAATAAAAGGTAATCGTTTTAAAGTAACATACGTGGTGACAAAGTTCAAATGGCTCCACCCATTGGGGCTCCACCCATTGACACCAAAACCCCATTTCGTCCGCACTCAATTCGTGTTTAAACGTGTAAACTCGAATCGTTCTGTCAACAGGTTTTTTTTTAATCAGTGCTGTCACAAACTATTATTATTTCCCGAGTGCCCCAATGAAAACAAACACGCCTCCCCGCCCTGGGTTGTATTCTGGGGTCCAACACTTCGCAGGTCCCAGAGGGGTTGAGTCGACAATTATCAACCTGTATCAATGTATCAATAACAGGTGACACATGCAATGTCATTCTGTATTCTGTTAGCCAATTTGCTGAGGCCAAATAAAAACAAAAACATGTTTCTCCTCGCATATTTATAAGAAAATAATGATGTTGAGGCCCCTTTATTGTTTCTTCACAAAGATGGACACTTTTTACTGGAACCCACAATCGTAGATCCCTTGCATAAGATACCTATACCGGTACTTATTGTTGTGAAGATGTTGAAATTCCTACATCAGATTTTTTCTTTTTGTGTTTTGCCTTTCTGGTGTGGAATAAAAGAAGGTAGCATACAAAACAATAAAGGAGTTGACGAGAAACATATGTTTTCCTTTATTTGGCCTTCATTTGCTCAATAAAAGGCGGTATACTTTACGCCAAAACAACAAAATAATAAGTGTGTTTATGAACGCGTGCTTATAGAGGAGCATTTTTTTGTGGTACGGATGTGGAGTGAAATTAAGGCAATGTTGTTCATGTAGCCAATAATGTGATTGTAAGACTTGATGTCAATTTTACATGGAACAATGTTTATCGCTTTCTCTAAAGTGCAGTCGGCTTTAGCTGGGCATCTGCAGTGAACCCACGTTGGCTTGACAGAGTAATAGTACACCATAAAGTGTAATTATGTTGTACACTATATTTTTCAATAATCAGTTACAAAAATAAATCGCATATAACACGATACGTGTTATTAGTTAAGATCTCTCTGCTGGACGTTAGGTCTCTGTCACAAACAATTGCTGCAATTACGTACGTAAATATTAGGTTTAGAATAGCTAATTTCAAATAGACGACAAATTTATATGATAATAAATATACGAATAGATCTAATATACTTATGTTTTATTATAATAGAATTAAATAAAGGCGCGGATTGGAAGTTTTTTATACATAACTATCGACGGCGATCTACAGCAGACAAAATCGGATTCAAAAAGTGATGTTTTAATATAGACCTACATTTTTGGAGTGATATATGTCTAAATCAGTAATTGTTATCATGTCTATTTGAGTACAGTACTAGGCCTACTACTGCATATTTCTGTGTCGCATATATTCACCCCTGATAAGATGACGTATCATGGCATTTTCCCAAGTAACTTGTGTGAACTATTGTACTTATTATTACTGTAAATGGTTAAAAATGAACTTTGACTGGCGAATATTTATACTTCCGGCGAATGATTTGGTCATGGTCAGGCTATAAAATATCTTACTCAACTGGGGTCAAACGTGAAACTTGTCTCAATGAAATAATTCTATATGATTTTTCAAGAAAGGAAGATATAATTGACTTCATAATGTCACACGATGGAAAAGTAATTCAATTGTTTCGTAGGAGGTAATTTGGCATCGGCATATGCGACATAAACGCAGATAAACTCGATAAAAGCACTAGTGAACAAATTTAGTGATAATGATTCTGCCTGCGGTAAGCTCACATTATCCTAAAATTACAAGCTTTTCAACAATTTATCAGAATATTTTTATGCCAAGGGCTACATACACTTAAACAGAGCTTAGCATATACTGTTCTGTGCGCAGGTCTTGTGAGAGGAAAGAAATTATAGGCCTACGGCTTCTGAGCCTATGAAGTAATGAAAATAATTAAGATAATTATTAAATTATTATGATATAATTATAGTAATACATTTGAAAGTAATAACTTATATCTAGGCATATCGTTAAAAATCATTAAGTACCGTACATCATTATGTTGTCATGAAATAGTGTAACGGTACTGCTTTAAACCAATTTAAGTAATTAGAGAATGCGGTAGAGGCTAACAGTCGTTTCAATATAATATTACAGTATATATAAGTTTTAATGTACATTAACAGTTTTATATTTAGCATTAAAATATTTTTTTCAAATTTGAAATTTATAGATTTTTCTTTCTAAATGTTTTCTGAATTATTCCAATTAGTCGTGAATATAAGTACACTGCGTCATCACAATAGGCCTATTTAAATAATTGAATTCGAATTAAATTATTATTGGAATCTAAACAAACATGTTCCTTGAAAGTACCCTGGCGCCTCATGATGTCCGTAGACCTCATGGACCTATCGGTGGATGATACGGTACCAGCGATACCAGTAACTAGATGGCGTTATCATGATTGAAACTGATTTAATCATTAATTAGATACTTAACTCATTCCTTCTAGTATAATTTGTTTAGACTATGATCTTGTTTATATAAAAATACAACACAGA